GTTGTCGTCCTACTACAGGCGCAGTCACATGCGGCAAGCGCTGTATAGATTGGTAGCTTTGACCTGGGCTCGTCTCCAACTTTGTGTTCTGTAACGGGGTGAATCGTTACATAACAATTTATAAGAAATTGTTAATAGAATATAACTATAAGAGTTATATTCTCAGAATATTGTCATAAGGACAATATTCTGTAGCACTTCCAAGTAGTTCCTAATTGGTTGATATAGGCCATTATATCAACCAACGAAGACGCGCCACGACAGACGCACGCAATGAGTGGTGAGCAGATAACTGACTTACACATTTGTATTTAGACATAGTTAGATGAAGATAAATAGTGATTTATTGCAGACATTAACTATTATAAATACAGTTCTACTTTTACTCTAACCGAGTACTCGCTTCTTCTTACCGTCTTCCTCTGCACGTACGAGTGTACGTGAAGTTACAGGCACCGCCTTATTCTGTTATCAGAATAAGTAGCTTGTACTGTCACCAGTACAAGCTTCAGGGTGCCCCGTTACACCTGGTAGCACTTCGTAGTCCGTCCAAGGACCGCGTTCACATCCAACATGAATATGTTGGATGATGAAGATGACCAAAGCTTTCACGCTACGCGTGACGGCTACTCCCATTTGAGCGATGTCGAATGGGATGCGGTTGAACGAATGGGTTCGACCATGGGCATCCATGCTGTTAGCGTCATGCTAGAGGCTCTCAATAGAGATGCCCAACATGCTACTATCGCCAAGTTCATTCAAAATGAACTTGACGCAGAACGCGAAGAAAGTAGCCTTGCTTCACCAACAAGGTTCTCAACAAGCAGAGTTGTTGAGAGAACAGGGTGCTCAACAGTTTGAACTGTTGAGACAGCAGCAGGCTGCTGCTGGCGGGTCGATGCACTCGCGTCGACCCGAGACTTTGAAGATTGACATCTCCAAGTATAGGGGAGTCGAAGAAGACTCCCTCTTGAGATGGTTCGTCGAGTTGGATGACGCCATAAGGGCGCGTCGCATCGACGACGGGGATATGCAAGTTGCATTTGCCCAGTCAAATCTGGCAGGACGTGCCAAGACTTGGGCACTGGGGCTCAAGCTGCACGACCCATATGCGTTTGGGTCGTTGGAAGTCTTCAAGTCGCGGCTCAGACAAACGTTTGAACCGCCTAGAGCTGAGTTCAGAGCTCGAACCGAACTCTTGAAGCTCAAGCAGGGTAAGCGTGATGTGCACGCTTACGCTCAACATATACGACATCTCACGAGTTGTATAAGTTCCAATCCGGTGGATGAACACACGTTGGTTTCGGTGTTCATGCAGGGTCTTGCGGATGGTCCCGTCAAGACTCACCTGTTCCGGCTTGAACTAGATTCACTAGAACAAGCCATTTCAATTGCGGAGCAGGAAGACTTCAGTCTGAGACAGGCTCGCGCCAGCTCGACATCATATCGTCAACCGAGACGATATGACAGCAGAGGTCCAGAGCCGATGGAACTCTGTTATGTAGAGAGCGAGAAGGCTCGCTCTACAGGCTACAAGAAGTTGCAGAGATGCAACAGATGTCAAAGACAGGACACTACGCTTACGAGTGTAGTGCCCCTCGTCCAGTGTCTCGCGACACTGGGCGTAGTGACCGTCCACCCATGAGAAAGGGGCAGGGACGAGGGTCCGCAGTTGGTGCAAAGACGCAACAACGGGATGGACCGTCAAAAAACGGACAGGATCAGTAGGTGCGGAGCACCCTACTGATCCAGCAACGTCAAGAGAATTTGTAGGCCTCTTGATGAAGGTTGCTCCCAACACACAGACATTGTGCGTTGCTGCTCTAGGTAATGAGATCTCACTCATTACCTTGAAACTCGAAGTGACGAATAAGTTGTCCCTTCGAGCTCTAGTCGATTGTGGGGCGTCCAACAATTTTGTGCGACGCCAATCGCTAGAAGATGGTCACTTTAAATTCAGTGAATGTGACACACCTCCTACGAGGATGACGGTACGTCTTGCGACAGGCGCATCCGTAACCGTCATGAAGCGTATAGTGAAGATTCACTATACGCTAGAAGATACCCAATACGACGATGACTTTATCGTATTGGATTTGGATGACAAATTTGATGTCATCCTTGGAATACCGTGGCTCAGAAGGTACGAACCACGGGTAAACTGGCAACATCGGACAGTAACGATGCCTGCCGCTTGTTCATCAGATGGCCATCTGATGAACGTTTTAGGCGTCCACAAGCGTGTGGATGTACTACGAGTGAGTGCGATGGCCTCACTTGTGGTACGGTCGTTAGTACGACTGCACAAAACCTTAGTGTACCAAACGGTTACACTTCGGAGCAAAGTTCCGGCGGCTGTGAGGAAACACAGGCTGCGCCGAAGGTCCACCACTCGAATAAGTCGGGTGGACTGGGACAAAGATGTATCCCTAGAGGGGAACATCTAGAAGAGAAACAATCGATCGCTCAGGTTAAGCGAAACGATAATCCTAGATCGACTGGAGAGTCTTTCGTAGAGGATCTCGCTGTGGTTGCGCAACCCCAGCTAGAGGAAGTAAAGGGAATAAGTCCCAAGATTACAAATACGGCGGAAATAAGTTCCCCGAAACCCGCGGGAATAAGTCCCCGGGAAGACGAAGGAATAAGTCCTTCGAAGCCTGAGGGAATAAGTCCCCAGGAAATGACAGAGACATTGAATGTCATAGTCAATAACGGATCATGTGTAGGCGCTTATACACTTGATCTGATTGCGCCTCCGAAGTTAACTTCGGAGATCACTCAGTGCCAACGCTCGAACATAAAAGGTTCTTGCGTGATCTGCGTAGTGGCAAAGTCAAGCAGATCTGCATACTCGTCGCTGACGACGAGTATGTAACCGACATAAGGTCAGCAACAGTGTTTACTGAGAACGAGAGAGTTCTCAGTAGTTCATCTATGGACGAGAGTGTCCTAGATGAAAAGACACGAATTGAGCGATATGAGTCCCAATCATGGGAATCGCTCAAGGAAAATCCTCTCTATGAGGATTTGGTTGAATTCAAGGATGTATTCCCTGAAACTGTTCCGTGCGAATTACCGAAGGATAAAGGTATTCGACACGAAGTCGAGCTTAAACCAGGCTCGAAGTACTGTGTCATGAAGCAGTGGCCACTGCCTCGTGAACAAGTACTTGCGATCGACAAGTTCTTTGCCGATCGTTTAGCAGCAGGCCATGTGAGGGGAATCAACTTCCCCACATAGCTCTCCGACCTTCTGTGTGCGAAAAGCAACAGGAGGGTGGCGGATAGTGCACGCGTTTAACAAATTGAACGCTGCAACGGTACCGGCTCAGACGCCGATACCGAGGAAGGACGTAATCATTGATGGTATGTCAAAGAGTACCATCTTTTCGTCCATGGATTTGATGGATGGCTTCTATCAAATCCTAATGCGGGAACAGGATATACCCTATACCGCAGTTAGCACGCCTAGCGGCATGCTCTGGGAATGGCTAGTAATGCCACAAGGGCTCAGTAATGCCCCTGCCACGTTCAACAGGTGTGTATCACATCTGTTGAGGCCAATACGAGAATTCGCGCCGAGTTATTTCGATGACGTATTCATCCATAGTCGAGCTATGGATGGAAAGTCGGACGTTGAGTTCACAGGTACCACGTCCGACAAGTTCTTACAATCATGCGAAAGCATCAATTGTATGCTAACCTCAAGAAGTGTATATTTGCAGCAAGCGAAATACCACTTCTTGGGTGCATCGTTGGTAAGAACGGTGTACGTCCTGATCCCGAAAGATCAAGGCGATCACCGACTGGCCTGTGCCGGTCGATGTCAAAGGTCTTCGAAAATTCCTTGGGCTAGCGGCGTATTTGCATAAGTATTCACGCAATTACGCCGAGATGACTGTACACCTCTCTCGTTTGTTGAAAAGAACGAGAGGTGGTTATGGAACGCTGAATGTCAACGCTCCTTTGAGGGTATCAAGCAGAGCTTGATACAATCCCCAGTCCTAGCAATAGCCGATCAGGACAGGCCATTTCATGTGGTCTGTGATGCCAGCGATTTCGCAATCGGCTGTGCATTAATGCAGTACGACCTTGAAGGCGTTGAACGCGTCGTCTGCTATCAGTCGCGTCAGCTGCAACCAGCTGAGCGGAACTATCCAGTGCATGACAAGGAACTCCTTGCCATGAAGTATGCACTCGCGAAGTTCAGAGTCTATCTATTAGGAGATAGACCCTTCGTTGTTTACACTGACCATGCGTCCTTACGCACGGCAGTGAACAGCCCACACCTTTCACAACGAATGGCGCGGTGGTTGTCATTCTTTGCAGAATACAACTTTACGGTCGAGTACAAACCAGGACGACTTAATGTCGTCGCTGATGCACTCTCACGTCGTCCCGACTTTGAAACAGTCGCGAAACCCAACAGTGAGACAGTCACTGTTGCGGTTATGACGTCCTCAGTTCCATCTACAACGTTGTATGATGATGTGAGGCGGGCATACGCCCAAGATGGTGAGATAGTGAAGTTGTTGTCACATCTCTCCCAACCATCTCGAGAATCGTTGAAACGATTGTCGTCTGCGTATCGATCTGCATCAGATCGATACACTACTCGTAACGGTTTACTGTACTATACAGCCGTTTCTGGTGACACACCACGTGTTGTCATTCCAGATGATACTGATCTGCGTTTGCGGATCATGTTCGAGAAATATCACGATGCTCCTATAGGAGGACATCGTGGCCGAGAGAAAACATATCTCACGGTAAGTCGAGACTTTTACTGGCCCCGCCAGTATCAGTTTGTGCGAAAGTATGTTCGCGCATGCGAAGTCTGCCAACGAGTGAAGTCAAGTCCTTCACTGCGTGCACCTTTACAGCCTCTACCGGTTCCGGCTGAGTGCTGGGAATCCATCTCAATGGATTTCGTCTTCCGGGTTACCCAAAGACGCACGCGGGAATACGGGTATTCTCGTATTTGTTGACAGATTCAGCAAAATGGTACACCTTGTGGCTGTACCAGAGACAATCACGGCAAGTGGCTGTGCTTGTGTCTTTATTGACACCATCTTCCGACTTCATGGGTTGCCCCGTGAACTCGTATCAGACAGAGATCCACGATTCACTGCTGATTTCTGGCGTTCCGTGTTCAAATCACTCGGAACGCGCTTGAAGATGTCAACATCTGATCATCCAGAGTCAGATGGTCAGACGGAACGTGCCAATCGTGTCCTTGAAGAGATACTTCGAGGATACGTACACTCCTTTAAGAGTTGGAGTGAGTTTTTGCCAATGGTAGAGTTTGCCATCAACAACTCGGTGCATGCGTCCACGACACATACACCGTTTTACGTGAATGGCTTGCGCCATCCGCGTGTACCCACCTTACTAGAGTGTAACTCTGGTTTAAGGGGGGGAGGGACTCGCGCGAGCAAAAACCGATTTGGTTCACGCTCATCACGCTCTGACGAAGAAGTCATTGCGTTTGATGCCGATATCGATAACATCGATATCGAAGAAGATGATGCCAGTGAGAGTGCGGAAGCCCTCACTGAAGACAATGATCCCAGTGAGAGTGCGGAAGCCCTCACTGAAGAAAAGGTTGTTGTTGCTGCAGTGCGCTCACAGCACACTGAAGCTAACGAGTCATCAGATGAGTTCATACTGGCTCGTGAAACGGTAGTCCGTTTTGTGCAAGACTCCATCGCCGAAGCGGTGGATAAGCAAAAGCAAAACGCTGACAAGAATGGAAGGGCAAACACTCTTTTATTTAATAAAGGTGACTTAGTCCTACTGTCTACGGTTAATCTACCAAAGCATGTAGTGACTAACTTGGGTAGCAGTAAACTACTACCCAAGTACATTGGCCCATTTCGTGTATTGCACCGCCTAGGCAATGCATACACGATCGAGTTACCACGTAAGATGCGAACGCATCCCACGTTTTATGTTGGTCGGCTTAAGCCGTACCATCAGTACGCTGCTTCTTCCGATGAAGAACGCCCTTGCGCTCAAGCATCTCGCAGAGAGCCTTGTGCTCCCGATGGTGGGCATCAACAAGGGTCTGAAGAGCAGTTATCTCAGCCCGAGACCGATCAACAATCCCACGAGCTACCCTTAGCTCGTCACGAAAGATGTCAGAGATCTCTCGTTCTCAAGCTGAGCAAAGGCAAACTCAGCTCGATGCTTCAAGGCAGTGTCCGCCATTTGGAGACGCCTGCCCCGCTCGTGTTCGAGATCGTCGCGTAACCCTAGCGTTACGCGATCAAAAACTCTCGGGAACACACCGATCCCCATGATCGTGTGGAGAGCGTCTTTCCTCCTCCTCCACCTCCATTAGAGGACTCTCGCGGTGGCCAGCGCTATCTAGTTGAGCAGCTGTTGAACCACCGCGACGTGAACGGACGTCGGACGAGTTATCTCGTCCGGTGGCGCGGCTATATCCCGTCCTGGGATTCTTGGGAGCCCCGCTCCCAATTGATGGTTGACGTACTGGGTCTGGTCGAGCAGTACGACGCGACACATCCTGTGCCGCAGAAGGACCGCCGGAGAAAGTCTTCCCGGCACGGTCGTAAAGGGATTTCAGGTTGTCAATCCCTTCGTACATCTCAGTAGAGACACGTACGCGCCACCACGGGCTGGTAAGGAGGTAAGCCTCCTTAGGTGCTCGTGCAGAGTTGTTCACACAACATGGGCACGAGTCTCCCCAAGAGAGGCAGGGTAATCCTTTCTCCTTGACAGACGATGCAGCTTATAGCGTGCACCTGTCGGGGTTCGCTTTTCAAACTTATCACGAGCTTTGATAAGTTTGTCGTTCCAAGCGTCACGACCTACATCCTCGAGATTATGGATGTAGGCGTTCCACGCCTGAAGTAGTGAGGGACCATCACGTTTTGTGATTCCCACTGTACCATCGATGTCTGAAGAAAGCATCGATGAAGAACTCATGTTCAGCGCGATAGTCTTTCGCGCTGGGGTCAAGGTGATGAATCCTCGACGAATCGAACAATCGTGTTCGATAACGATCACTCGTCGTCGCCGACAAGTGATCCATGACAGATTTAGGAGGCATCCATGCCTTCTTTTCTGGAGCGAGACGCAACACATTGCGGTCCCGCTCTTCCTGCGACGTGCCGACAGAAGTACTGGCACCTCGCTGTGAAGTGGTGTCCATTGGAGAAACGACACCACTATTGGCGCCCGAGTCTCGCGACCTCGAGCGCCTTCGCTTCGGCGATGGTTCATCTGACTCATCAGATGAACCAAAGATGCTGCGACGCAAAGCATCGTCCATGCCACGCTTGGCAGGCGGCTTGGATTCAATTGCCGTCGATACGGATCCGTCATCCGTATCAGGAGAGTACGAGACACCGAGCTCGTACTCTGTGAAGACACGAGTGTCTTCATGACCAGCGCCTGCATCACCAGGTGATACAGGCTGAGTCGATTCAGCAACCGATGGGACATCAGTTGCTGTAGTTTCTGCTTCGGCGTCCGCACAGAGACGTGCAGACGCGCTCTCGGCGGCCTTGCTCGCGCATCGCATGGGCTTGTTTACCATGCGATGAGATGTTGGAAAGTGGACGCGGACCAACAAGTGCAAACCCCGTCCCAAATGATTTGGGACGAGTATCCATTTAGTCAATCAGTCACTAAAGTGACTGATGGTTAAGGGGGGTGATGTAACGGGGTGAATCGTTACATAACAATTTATAAGAAATTGTTAATAGAATATAACTATAAGAGTTATATTCTCAGAATATTGTCATAAGGACAATATTCTGTAGCACTTCAAGTAGTTCCCTAATTGGTTGATATAGGCCATTATATCAACCAACGAAGACGCGCCACGACAGACGCACGCAATGAGTGGTGAGCAGATAACTGACTTACACATTTGTATTTAGACATAGTTAGATGAAGATAAATAGTGATTTATTGCAGACATTAACTATTATAAATACAGTTCTACTTTTTACTCTAACCGAGTACTCGCTTCTTCTTACCGTCTTCCTCTGCACGTACGAGTGTACGTGAAGTTACGAGGCACCGCCTTATTCTGTTATCAGAATAAGTAGCTTGTACTGTCACCAGTACAAGCTTCAGGGTGCCCCGTTACATGTTCCGTGGCTGCGTACCGCGGTCTGGGTTTTATTTTGCGAGCGGCTAAACTTAGCAGCTTTACGCCGTTGCGCGTAATTGAACACAATTTCCTGGTCGTTTCGCAGCTTCAATCACACCAATCGCCTCGGCAACTGCACCTCGCTGCGCTATGCTGTACCGCCTAGGCACTAGCTCCAAGGGCAGCACTGGAGACCAACCCGTCATCTCAGGTATATGCCCCACCCGATCTTAGTGTCGCTCAGCGAATCCAACAATACTCGAGACGTAACGTCACGTCGACATCGGACAATTCGATCGCCTCTCGATGTCCACCTGCAACTGGGTATCAATACATCATCGGTTAGATGCCAGGCGACGTGCTGTCAGTCCAGTCACACTATAGTCTACTCTCTATCGCTCCACCAAGTAGAGCGGACTATTTGGTATGTGTAACGGGGTGAATCGTTACATAACAATTTATAAGAAATTGTTAATAGAATATAACTATAAGAGTTATATTCTCAGAATATTGTCATAAGGACAAATATTCTGTAGCACTTACGAGTAGTTCCTAATTGGTTGATATAGGCCATTATATCAACCAACAAAGACGCGCCACGACAGACGCACGCAATGAGTGGTGAGCAGATAACTGATTTACACATTTGTATTTAGACATAGTTAGATGAAAATAAATAGTGATTTATTGCAGACATTAACTATTATAAATACAGTTCTACTTTTTACTTTAACCAAGTACTCGCTTCTTCTTACCGTCTTCCTCTGCACGTACGAGTGTACGTGAAGTTACGAGGCACCGCCTTATTCTGTCATCAGAATAAGTAGCTTGTACTGTCACCACTACAAGCTTCAGGGTGCCCCGTTACACCTGGTAGCACTTCGTAGTCCGTCCAAGGACCGCGTTCACATCCAACATGAATTTGTTGGATGATGAAGATGACCAAAGCTTTCACGCTACGCGTGACGGCTACTCCCATTTGAGCGATGTCGAATGGGATGCGGTTGAACGAATGGATTCGACCATGGGCATCCATGCTGTTAGCGTCATGCTAGAAGCTCTCAATAGAGATGCCCAACATGCTACTATCGCCAAGTTCATTCAAAATGAACTTGACGCAGAACGCGAGAAAGTAGCCTTGCTTCACCAACAAGGCTGTCAACAAGCAGAGTTGTTGAGAGAACAGGGTGCTCAACAGTTTGAACTGTTGAGACAGCAGCAGGCTGCTGCTGGCGGGTCGATGCACTCGCGTCGACCCAAGACCTTGAAGATTGACATCTCCAAGTATAGGGGAGTCGAAGAAGACTCCCTCTTGAGATGGTTCGTCGAATTGGATGACGCCATAAGGGCGCGTCGCATCGACGACGGGGATATGCAAGTTGCATTTGCCCAGTCAAATCTGGCAGGACGTGCCAAGACTTGGGCACTGGGGCTCAAGTTGCACGACCCATATGCGTTTGGGTCGTTGGAAGTCTTCAAGTCGCGGCTCAGACAAACGTTTGAACCGCCTAGAGCTGAGTTCAGAGCTCGAACCGAACTCTTGAAGCTCAAGCAGGGTAAGCGTGATGTACACGCTTACGCTCAACATATACGACATCTCACGAGTTGTATAAGCTCCAATCCGGTGGATGAACACACGTTGGTTTCGGTGTTCATGCTGGGTCTTGCGGATGGTCCCGTCAAGACTCACCTGTTCCGGCTTGAACTAGATTCACTAGAACAAGCCATTTCCATTGCGAAGCAGGAAGACTTCAGTCTGAGACAGGCTCGCACCAGCTCGACATCATATCTTCAACCGAGACGATATGACAGCGGAGATCCAGAGCCGATGGAACTCTGTTATGTAGAGAGCGAGAAGGCTCGCTCTACAGGCTACAAGAAGTTGCAGAGATGCAACAGATGTCAAAAGACAGGACACTACGCTTACGAGTGTAGTGCCCCTCGTCCAGTGTCTCGCGACACTGGGCGTAGTGACCGTCCACCCATGAGAAAGGGGCAGGGACGAGGGTCCGCTGTTGGTGCAAAGACGCAACAACGGGATGGACCGTCAAAAAAACGGACAGGATCAGTAGGTGCGGAGCACCCTACTGGTCCAGCAACGTCAAGAGAATTTGTAGGCCTCTTGATGAAGGTTGCTCCCAGCACACAAACGTTGTGCGTTGCTGCTCTAGGTAGTGAAATCTCACTCATTACCTTGAAACTCGAAGTGACAAATAAGTTGTCCCTTCGAGCTCTAGTCGATTGTGGGGCGTCCAACAATTTTGTGCGACGCCAATCGCTAGAAGATGGTCACTTTAAATTCAGTGAATGTGACACACCTCCTACGAGGATGACGGTACGTCTTGCGACAGGCGCATCCGTAACCGTCATGAAGCGTATAGTGAAGATCCACTATACGCTAGAAGATACCCAATATGACGATGACTTTATCGTATTGGATTTGGATGACAAATTTGATGTCATCCTTAGAATACCGTGGCTCAGAAGGTACGAACCACGGGTAAACTGGCAACATCGAACAGTAACGATGCCTGCCGCTTGTTCATCAGATGGCCATCTGATGAACGTTTTGGAGCGTCCACAAGCGTGTGGATGTACTACGAGTGAGTGCGATGGCCTCACTTGTGGTACGGTCGTTAGTACGACTGCACAAAACCTTAGTGTACCAAACGGTTACACTTCGGAGCAAAGTTCCGGCGGATGTGAGGAAACACAGGCTGCGCCGAAGGTCCACCACTCGAATAAGTCGGGTGGACTGGGACAAAGATGTATCCCTAGCGGGGAACATCTAGAAGAGAAACAATCGATCGCTCAGGTTAAGCGAAACGATAATCCTAGATCGACTGGAGAGTCTTTCGTAGAGGATCTCGCTGTGGTTGCGCAACCCCAGCTAGAGGAAGTAAAGGGAATAAGTTCCGATAGTACAAATACGGCGGAAATAAGTTCCCCGAAACCCGCGGGAATAAGTCCCCGGGAAGACGAAGGAATAAGTCCTTCGAAGCCTGAGGGAATAAGTCCCCAGGAAATGACAGAGACATTGAATGTCATGATCAATAACGGATCAAGTGTAGGCGCTTATACACTTGATCTGATTGCGCCTCCGAAGTTAACTTCGGAGATCACTCAGTTGCCAACGCTCGAACATAAAAGGTTCTTGCGTGATCTGCGTAGTGGCAAAGTCAAGCAGATCTGCATACTCGTCGCTGACGACGAGTGTGTAACCGACATAAGGTCAGCAACAGTGTTTACTGAGAACGAGAGAGTTCTCAGTAGTTCATCTATGGACGAGAGCGTCCTAGATGAAAAGACACGAATTGAGCGATATGACTCCCAATCGTGGGAATCGCTCAAGAAAAATCCTCTCTATGAAGATTTGGTTGAATTCAAGGATGTATTCCCTGAAACTGTTCCGTGCAAATTACCGAAGGATAAAGGTATTCGACACGAGGTCGAGCTTAAACCAGGCTCGAAGTACTGTGTCATGAAGCAGTGGCCACTGCCTCGTGAACAAGTACTTGCGATCGACAATTTCTTTGCCGATCGTTTAGCTGCGAGGCCATGTGAGGGAATCAACTTCCCCACATAGCTCTCCGACCTTTGTGTGCGAAAAGCAACAGGAGGGTGGCGGATAGTGCACGCGTTCAACAAATTGAATGCTGCAACGGTACCGGCTCAGACGCCGATACCGAGGAAGGAAGTAATCATTGATGGTATGTCAAAGCGTACCATCTTTTCGTCCATGGATTTGATGGATGGCTTCTATCAAATCCTTATGCGGGAACGGGATATACCCTATACCGCAGTTAGCACGCCTAGCGGCATGCTCTGGGAATGGCTAGTAATGCCACAAGGGCTTAGTAATGCCCCTGCCACGTTCAACAGATGCGTATCACATCTGTTGAGACCAGTACGAGAATTCGCGCCGAGTTATTTCGATGACGTATTCATCCATAGTCGAGCTATGGATGGAAAGTCGGACGTTGAGGTTCACAGGTACCACGTCCGACAGGTTCTTACAATCATGCGAAAGCATCAATTGTATGCAAACCTCAAGAAGTGTATATTTGCCGCAAGCGAAATACCACTTCTTGGGTGCATCGTTGGTAAGAACGGTGTACGTCCTGATCCCGAAAAGATCAAGGCGATCACCGACTGGCCTGTGCCGGTTGATGTCAAAGGTCTTCGAAAATTCCATAGGCTAGCGGCGTATTTGCATAAGTATTCACGCAATTACGCCGAGATGACTGTGCACCTCTCTCGTTTGTTGAAAAATAACGAGAGGTGGTTATGGAGCGCTGAATGTCAACGCTCCTTTGATGGTATCAAGCAGAGCTTGATACAATCCCCAGTCCTAGCAATAGCCGATCAGGACAGGCCATTTCATGTGGTCTGTGATGCCAGCGATTTCGCAATCGGCTGTGCATTAATGCAATACGATCTTGAAGGCGTTGAACGCGTCGTCTGCTATCAGTCGCGTCAGCTGCAACCAGCTGAGCGGAACTATCCAGTGCATGACAAGGAACTCCTTGCCATGAAGTATGCACTCGCGAAGTTCAGAGTCTATCTATTAGGAGATAGACCCTTCGTTGTTTACACTGACCATGCGTCATTACGCACGGCAGTGAACAGCCCGCACCTTTCACAACGAATGGCGCGGTGGTTGTCATTCTTTGCGGAATGCAACTTTACGGTCGAGTACAAACCAGGACGACTTAATGTCGTCGCTGATGCACTCTCACGTCGTCCCGACTTTGAAACAGTCGCGAAACCCAACAGTAAGACAGTCACTGTTGCGGTTGTGACGTCCTCAGTCCCATCTACAACGTTGTATGATGATGTGAGGCGGGCATACGCCCAAGATGGTGAGATAGTGAAGTTGTTGTCACATCTCTCCCAACCATATCGAGAATCGTTGAACGATTGTCGCCTGCGTATCGATCTGCATCAGATCGATACACTACTCGTAACGGTTTACTGTATTATACAGCCGTTTCTGGTGACACACCACGTGTTGTCATTCCAGATGATACTGATCTGCGTTTGCGGATCATGTTCGAGTATCACGATGCTCCTATAGGAGGACATCGTGGCCGAGAGAAGACATATCTCACGGTAATTCGAGACTTTTACTGGCCCCGCCAGTATCAGTTTGTGCGAAAGTATGTTCGCGCATGCGAAGTCTGCCAACGAGTGAAGTCAAGTCCTTCACTGCGTGCACCTTTACAGCCTCTACCGGTTCCGGCTGAGTGCTGGGAATCCATCTCAATGGATTTTGTCTTCGGGTTACCCAAAGACGCACGCGGGAATACGGGTATTCTCGTATTTGTTGACAGATTCAGCAAAATGGTACACCTTGTGGCTGTACCAGAGACAATCACGGCAAGTGGCTGTGCTTGTGTCTTTGTTGACACCATCTTCCGACTTCATGGGTTGCCTTGTGAACTCGTTTCAGACAGAAATCCACGATTCACTGCTGATTTCTGGCGTTCCGTGTTCAAATCACTCGGAACGCGCTTAAAGATGTCTACATCTGATCATCCAGAGTCAGATGGTCAGACGGAACGTGCCAATCGTGTCCTTGAAGAGATACTTCGAGGATACGTACACTCCTTTAAGAGTTGGAGTGAGTTCCTGCCAATGGTAGAGTTTGCCATTAACAACTCGGTGCATGCGTCCACGACACATACACTGTTTTACGTGAATGACTTGCGCCATCCGCGTGTACCCACCTTACTAGAGTGTAACTATGGTTCAAGGGGGAGGGACTCGCGCGAGCAAAAACCGATTTGGTTCACGCTCATCACGCTCTGACGAAGAGGTCATGCGTTTGATGCCGATATCGACAACATCGATATCGAAGAAGATGATGTCAGTTAGAGTGCGGAAGCCCTCACTGAAGAAAAGGTTGATGTTGCTGCAGTGCGCTCACAGCACACTGAAGCTAACGAGTCATCAGATGAGTTCATACTGGCTCGTGAAACGGTAGTCCGTTTTGTGCAAGACTCCATCGCCGAAGCGGTGGATAAGCAAAAGCAAAACGCTGACAAGAATGGAAGGGCAAACACTCTTTTATTTAATAAAGGTGACTTAGTCCTACTGTCTACGGTTAATCTACCAAAGCATGTAGTGACTAACTTGGGTAGCAGTAAACTACTACCCAAGTACATCGGCCCATTTCGTGTATTGCACCGCCTAGGCAATGCATACACAATCGAGTTACCACGTAAGATGCGAACGCATCCCACGTTTTACGTTGGTCGGCTTAAGCCGTGCCATCAGTAAGCTGCTTCTTCCGATGAAGAACGCCCTTGCGCTCAAGCATCTCGCAGAGAGCCTTGTGCTCCCGATGGTGGGCATCAACAAGGGTCTGAAGAGCGGTTATCTCAGCCCGAGACCGATCAACAATCCCACGAGCTACCCTTAGCTCGTCACGAAGAGATGTCAGAGATCTCTCGTTCTCAAGCTGAGCAAAGGCAAACTCAGCTCGATGCTTCAAGACAGTGTCCGCCAATTGTAGACGCCTGCCCCGCTCGTGTTCGAGATCGTCGCGTAACGCAAGAGTTACGCGATCAAAGAAGCTCTCGGGAACACACCGATCCCCCATGATCGTGTGGAGAGCGTCTTTCCTCCTCCTCCACCTCCATTAGAGGACTCTCGCGGTGGCCAGCGCTATCTAGTTGAGCAGCTGTTGAACCACCGCGACGTGAACGGACGTCGGACGAGTTATCTCGTCCGGTGGCGCGGCTATCCCCCGTCCTGGGATTCTTGGGAGCCCCGCTCCCAACTGATGATCGACGTACTGGGTCTGGTTGAGCAGTACGACGCGGCACATCCTGTGCCGCAGAAGGACCGCCGGAGAAAGTCTTCCCGGCACGGTCGTAAAGGGATTTTAGATTGTCAATCCCTTCGTACATCTCAGTAGAGACACGTACGCGCCACCACGGGCTGGTAAGGAGGTAAGCCTCCTTAGGTGCTCGTGCAGAGTTGTTCACACAACATGGGCACGAGTCTCCCCAAGAGAGGCAGGGTAATCCTTTCTCCCTTGACAGACGATGCAGCTTGTAGCGTGCACCTGTCGGGGTTCGATTTTCAAACTTATCACGAGCTTTGATAAGTTTGTCGTTCCAAGCGTCACGACCTACACCCTCAAGGTTATGGATGTAGGCGTTCCACGCCTGAAGTAGTGAGGGACCATCACGTTTGTGATTCCCACTGTACCATCGATGTCTAAAGAAAGCATCGATGAAGAATTCATGTTCAGCGCGATAGTTTTTCGCGCTGGGGTCAAGGTGATGGATCCTTGACGAATCGAACAATCGTGTTCGATAACGATCACTCGTCGTCGCCGACAAGTGATCCATGACAGATTTTGGAGGCATCCATGCCTTCTTTTCTGGAGCGAGACGCAAGACATTGCGATCCCGCTCTTCCTGCGATGTGCCGACAGAAGTAATGGCACCTCGTTGCGAAGTGGTGTCCATAGGAGAACCGACACCACTGTTAGCGCCCGAGTCTCGCGACCTCGAGCGCCTTCGCTTCGGCGATGGTTCATCTGATTCATCAGTTCATCTGATTCATCAGATAAACCAAAGATACTGCGACGCAAAGCATCGTCCATGCCACGCTTGGCAGGCGGCTTGGATACAATCGCCGTCGATACGGATCCGTTTTCCGTATCAGGAGAGTACGAGACACCGAGCTCGTACTCTGTGAAGACACGAGTGTCTTCATGACCAGCGCCTGCATCACCAAGTGACACAGGCTGGGTCGCTTCAGCAACCGATGAGACATCAGTTGCTGTTGTTTCTGCTTCGGCGTCCGCAAAGAGACGTGCAGACGCGCTTTCGGCGGCCTTGTTCGCGCATCGCATGGGCTTGTTTACCATGCGATGAGATGTTGGAAAGTGGACGCGGACCAACAAGTGCAAACCCTGTCCCAAATGATTTGGGACGAGTATCCATTTAGTCAATCAGTCACTAAAGTGACTGATGGTTAAGGGGGGGTGATGTAACGGGGTGAATCGTTACATAACAATTTATAAGAAATTGTTAATAGAATATAACTATAAGAGTTATATTCTCAGAATATTGTCATAAGGACAAATATTCTGTAGCACTTACGAGTAGTTCCTAATTGGTTGATATAGGCCATTATATCAACCAACGAAGACGCGCCACGACAGACGCACGCAATGAGTGGTGAGCAGATAACTGCTTTACACATTTGTATTTAGACAAAGTTAGATGAAGATAAATAGTGATTTATTGAAGACATTAACTATTATAAATACAGTTCTACTTTTTACTTTAACCAAGTACTCGCTTCTTCTTACCGTCTTCCTCTGCACGTACGAGTGTACGTGAAGTTACGAGGCACAGCCTTATTCTGTCATCAGAATAAGTAGCTTGTACTGTCACCAGTACAAGCTTCAGGGTGCCCCGTTACAGTATGGGTATTGTTGGTCGCCATAGTTCCTCAACATACCTCACTTTCAAAAAAAAAACTGGCGATTGGAACTGATTCGCTCAAAATAGGGGATCATAGGTGGATATCCCTTCGTCCAAACCTCCATTGCAACATCATGAAATCGTGAATTCGGGCACATCCATTTCAATACATAAGGAGTTCTTCAATCGACTTAGGCAGCTGAAACAACCAGGACTGCCATCATGACGTAGTCAAAGTAGCCATCGAAGGTGCACCGATTGATATCGACGGGTACAAGCTTCGTAACAGTGCAGGATGACTCCACCACTGCCCTCAAAAATGCGCAGAATACTGACAATTTCAACAAAAGAGCTGGCCGTATCGTTTCACAGTCCGCGTGGTGTACTAGAGATACGCGCAATCACCAGTAGTGCAGCGCCTGATCACATGCTAAATATAGTCAGCAAGAGAACGGACCATATTCCTTGAAAACAGTGGCGTTTTGCTCGGTCCAAATCTGCTATTCGCAAATGTACCATCCATCGCTCCCAAAATCCGGTCCAAATCGTCGAAAAACACCCTCGTCCACATCAAATCTACACAAATCGTTGCAGTCCAGTCACGTAGCTCCTCGCCAACCATATCGTCAACATTACCATCAACCTCAGCCTCTAAGCGATACCTTAACCCCACGTCCACGTTGTAGCTCATGGTCAAGTCGTACCTGCGCTACGAGCGCTCGTGCTCTTTCGGCGTGATCTCGTCCGTGGAAGGCAACGTCATCTACGACGCCAGTGGTCGCTTTGCTGTCGCCCCTGCACTTGAGTCTGCAGCTGTGTGGAATATTCGCCAAGGCAACAAAGTGCGGGACCTCCAGATATCTGAAAATAGCGGTAGCGGTCAAGTGACGGCATTGGCTCTAAGTCCTGACGGCAATGACGTGGTGTGTGGGTACTCTTCCGGTGTCATCTGTGTGTTTAAACTTGCTACGGGTGCTCTCATTGTGACTCTGGACGGTCACAAGAGCGCAGTGGAGACGCTGACGTACCGCTCAGATGGTGCAGAGTTGGCTTCTGGTTCTCGAGATACGGACGTGATTGTGTGGGACTTGGTGAGCCAGACGGGGCTCTTTCGACTCAAAGGACACAAGGACGCGGTGACAGCAGTTGCTTTCTTGACACCCAGGACATTGGTCTCGAGCTCAAAGGATACGCTCGTGAAAGTTTGGGACTTGGAGACACAGCACTGTTTGCAGACGTGTGTGGGTCACCGAAACGAAGTGTGGTCGTTGGCTCTGAATGTGAAGGGAGATCGACTTGTGACGGGCGCGTCGGACAATCAGCTAAGAGTGTGGAGCGTCCAGCAGACTGACAAGGAGGGAGAGATTGTCAAGCTCTTGGGATCTATCTGTAGGCAGAGCAATGACCGCGTGTCGAGCGTTGCATACCATATCAAGGGAGACTTGGTGGGAGTGCAAAGCGCAGGGAAGACGGTCGAGATCTACCGTGTGCGGTCAGCAGACGAGATCAAGAAGAAACGCCAACGTCGCGAAAAGCGACAACGTGAAAAGGCCAAGAAAAAGCAGCAGCAGGTTGAGGAGGTGGGAAAGAAGAGCAAACCACTGGCGTTACATAAGACACAGGCAGCTAAGGAGGAGGAGGAAGAGGATGCTGCTGACAATTTGGCAACGGATGAACTAGAGCTCTTGTGTGTGGTGCGATCGTCTCACCGTGTCAAGTCGTTTGCGTTCTCCCCTGACGTTGCCAAGGACGGTACCACGTCGTTGATGCTTGGATTGCAGAACAATAGCATCGAGACGTACACGCTCTCACCAAGTGCGACGACGCTTGAGAACAGATACGGAAAGTCCCATGTACTTACGTTGAGTGGGCACCGATCTGATGTGCGTCAAGTAGCGATCAGTTCAGATGACCAGCTCGTTTTGTCGCTGGCAGGTGCGTCTGTGAAGATCTGGAACGCTCGTTCACTGCAGTGCATTCGTACGTTGAGCGATAGTCTTTCTTTGGCACTGTCGGCAGTGTTTGCACCAGGCAACATGCACGTTGTTGTGGGTACAAAGCTTGGTCAGCTGCTGCTCTTCGATCTGAACTCAGGCGAGTGCATTTGGAAGGACGAGCAGGCTCACAATGGTAGTGCTGTCTGGTCCATCGATGTGCGTCCTGATGGACGTGGTATTGTTACTGGAGGTGCGGATCAGCGCGTAAATTTTTGGGACTTTGAGATGCACCGTTCCGACAATGTCGAGAAGAATAGCACGTTGCGTCTAGGCCTCTCACACACCCGCATGCTCAAGATGTCGGATGATGTGCTGTGCGTTCGCTATAGCAACACAAAGGACTCCAAAAAACTGGTTGTAGCAGTGGCTTTGTTGGACTGCACGGTCAAGGTGTTTCACGATGACTCGCTGAAGTTCTTTGTCAGCTTGTATGGCCACAAGCTTCCGGTCATGTCGATGGATATATCTTCGGACGACGCGATGCTAGTGACGGCATCTGCTGACAAGAATGTGAAGCTGTGGGGTCTTGATTTTGGCGATTGTCACAAGTCCATTTTCGCACACCAGGACAGCATCATGTGCGTGCGCTTCGTGCACAAGACGCACTACTTTTTTACTGCCTCGAAGGACAAGTCGATCTGCTACTGGGACGGCGATCATTTTGAGCGTATTCTCAAGATTGATGGCCAACACTTTGGCGAAGTGTGGGGACTTGCAGTAAGCTGTGATGGTAGTTTCGTTGTGAGTTGTTCGCAGGACCGCTCGCTATGCAAATACGTTCGCACGGAGGACCAAGTATTTATTGAGGAAGAAAAAGAGAAAGAGATGGAGCAGCTTTTTGAAGACGAGCTGACGTCGAACAGTAACAACAAAGGACCGGCTCTGGGCAAGGACAAGAGTGAGGCTGGAGAGGCGAGCAATGCCACATCAGCTCCAGCTGCTAAACGCACCATTGAGTCAGTTCGTGCCGGCGAGAGTTTGATGGAAGCTATTGACTTGGCTGAAACGGAGGTGCAGGCTATTGCTGACTTTGCAAGAGTGCAGAAGAAGAAGCTCAAGGAGGCTGCTGCCGCCGCGAAGAAGCTCAAGCAGGAGAAAAAGAAGTCGGTGGAGGAGGCGACATTGAACGCTTTGCCTACGACGGAAGACAAGCTTGAAGACGAGCTCGGGGAATTGAAGAAGCTGAAGAAGGCAAGTCGTCCGCCGAATATGCTGCTGTTGGGTTACTCGCCGCTCAAGTACGTGCTCCAGACGCTGCGGCGTATCCGGCCGCATGACATGGAGGCAGCACTTATTGTGTTGCCGTTCGACTACGTGGAGCGTGTGATCCGGTTGCTGTTGCAACTGATTTCGAGTCATTTGGAATTGGAGTTCTGCTGTCGCGTACTGCTTTTCCTGCTCAAGCTGCACAACTCGGCTATTTGTGCGCGTGTGGGTCTTTTCACTGAGCTTGAGCTACTGTGGCAGCGATTACGCTCGCAACTTGTGGAGAGTAAGAGTCGCATTGGTTTTAACTTGGCTGGTCTCAAGTATTTGAAACGTATGGTTGATGAAGAAAGGACTGGATTTGTTCAAGAAATCGCTTCGACGTCAAGTAGCCGCTCGAAGAAGAAGCGAAAGGTGGTCGAAGCGATACCGTTTGCAGTCTAGCGTGCCAAACGTCATTCCTCTCTCTGTCAGCGATGTGACCTTGAGCCATTATTGCGAATCAGCAAATAGAGCACTGCATTTTATAAGTAACTGTATTGACGTTTCTGTGCGCTAAATTGAAAGCAACTCTTTACTTGTCCGTAACAACAAACAATATACAATAAAACCAATTAATTGCAGAATTCAAATTCCTTGCTTTCGTCTGACATCCCTAAAAGCAGTACGTTTTGACACACGCAGACGTTTGTGAAAAATGAAGCGAGCATCAAGTTGTCTCGATGAGCTGGACCCCACTACGGAGCCTATGGACAAGAAAAAGCGCGTGGAAAACCCCTTCGACCATGCTGCAATTGAGACCTTCATTCGGAATGGGTTTGTGCTGCTACCCGAGGCTTTCTCACCATCCACTGCACAAAAGTGTCGCGAGCTGATTTGGCACCGACTGGCTCAGGATGGTATCACGAAAGACCCGACTACGTGGGTAGAGCGACACGGCATTGCAGGTCCTTGGCATTAACCAGTCTAAGAAATTGCTCATGATTGAAGTGCTCACCGATATCTCGTTCTCGTTGTTGTTCTTGCACCCAGATGTCTATAGTGCTCCACAGGACGGTCAAGTGTGGCACGAGGTGGTGACGCCACGTCTAAAGCGAGCAATGGACCAGCTCTGTGGTTGCAATCGATGGAGAAAAGACTTTGGTCTTGGGTGGTGGATGATCACGTTTCCGGGCCAGGCAGAGCCGCCGTGGGACGCTGCCGGCAAGTGGCACGTGGATGGCGCGTCGTACCAACACCATGTGGATAGTCGAGAGTCCGGGCTGCTGGCAATCTTCCTCTTCTCCGATATTGGGCCGGGGGAAGGAGGGACGGCGTTGTCGGTGGGGTCGCATAAACGAGTTGCCAGGTTGCTGGCGAAGAACGAGCCGCGGGGGATGAAAGGTGGTGCAGTGAGCTACCAAGCCAGACAGTTTCGACGACGAGAGGTTGTGGAGGTAAACGGCAAGGCGGGTGACGTGATGTTAGTGCACCCGTTCTTGCTGCATGCTCGTAGCAAGAATTTGGGGCAAAAGGGAGTGAAGTCGGTGCGTATCATGTGTAACCCGAATGTGCAACTTCACCGCAAGATGAACTTGAGCCGCGCTGACGGTTGCTATAGCCCCGTAGAGCAGGCAATTGTTGATGCCTTGCAGGAACAAGAGACGGGTGTTGAGGAATAGTGAACGCCAACCAAGCTGCACGGTTCGTACTGGAAGGATTCGTCTCAGCTGCATCAACTACTGCCCGAGCGATCTTCCTCGGCTGGATGGTATATGATAGCCCATTTGCTACGATCATGAATCATGCGGCTTTGGATGGCGTTCATGTGCAGCAGTGACACACAGAAGCTCCGTGTCCACGAAAAGACGTGACTTTGACATGTGTACTGATCGAGCTGTGCTTTTGTGTTATCGCGCTCGTACGATGAAGATGTTGGCAGTCAAAGGACTTGAGACAAAACTCCGTAAATGCAGAGAATCAAAGTCTGGAAAGCTACTTGCCGGGAGAGTTTTCGTCTGCGACGCATTTGCGTGTACCGACCACTGTCTTTTGTACTGGAAAGGAAAGCGGAAGTAAGCTAGATACCGCTTACTCTTAATAAACGATATACCACGTCCAACCTTATCGCTTGCTGCGCCGAATTCGTGACAAAGACGTTAGTACTTATCAGATATCGAATTCATTGGTGGCGTTTGCGCACGGTATGCAATAAACAAGATCGATGGCTCGTTTAAGTAGCTGCTTTTCTCATACTAGACGGTAAGGTGTGTGAGTATGAAGAGAAATCAAGCTGGATCAAAATGCTGGTTATACAACAAGACTGAATATGTTGGATATGCAACCAGGCAATCACGATAAATTTTGTAACGGTCGCAATCAAAGAAAAGGAGGTGGTATAGCTACTGAATTGAGTGTTCTGTACGAAAAGCTCTGTTTCGTTAAAGGTAGAGAGATATCAGGAGACTGTCTGGTAATCCCTAAAGAGGAATACTGGACTTTGTTCGAATCGGCTCCAGTTGTGGCCCTTGGATGCACCAGACTTCGCTGGCTGACATCCCTGAAAAGGCCGGAAAAGCTTATTGATAAGACAGTACTTTCGCATTATTTGCTGATCGTCAGCCTCGATATGACACCAATGCGTTTGATGGCAACGCACTTGAGCTGCTGATGTCTGTGCTATACCGAAAGTGAGGTAAACGCAGAGAATGATAGCGCAGGTCTTGGGATGCCAGCCTACAATTTGTGGTAGACAAGGTGCATGATGCGCGGCAAAAGCGTCTAGCGATGCGGTCTTCTGACAGCAGAAAGGAATGTGACGGTTGAGGTTTGGAGTGGTGGAGGTAGTTTAAAGACAAGTCGTTACGATTAATTTCGCAAGGGAGGTTCTCGGCCTAACGATTCGATCGGATCCGTTAGGTCTCCCTAAAAGATGGCAGAAATGTCAACAACGAGGGTCCAGGCCGGTGGAGTCATTGCCTACGGTACAATGTATCACACAACGAGTGCTACAGGCTGTACGACCCACATCGTACTGTCACATGCAGTGGATGCAAGTGCGACCAAAAGGTATCGTAAATGGATTATCTCATGTACCTGTGCGCAAAGGATACGGCATCATGTAAGTGCGTCGACAAAATTTGATGATAAACATTGCTACACATGCTTCCACACGAGTATGATTGTGCTGATGAAGAAGGTAGACTCCCGGATTAATTGTTACTTACACGAATCGAGAAATCAATGCATTCAGTTAAGCGCAGCAGTCGGGTGATGCGGGTAAACGGTGGAAGTGAAGTTGTCAGTGGCCATATACCCTCGGTCCAAGGACCCGACGCGGAGTTGAAGTTGAAAGTTTTACAGGTGGTAATCAAAAAATACGTAGAGCACACGACTTCACCACATAATGACAGCGGCATAGTTGAGCAACTAGAGATTACGGCTACCGGTGAAGTCAGCGAGAGCCTAACGTATCATCTCGATTTCCTTAAAACGGTCGCGCCTATTCCTGTATTGTGGGGGAGAGATTTGTGGCGACGAACCTCATTGCTCACACTCCACAAAGCTTCGTGGCCGCGTGATTCCGCGGTACCTTCGTTCTCGGTTTTTTAAGGATGTGCTGAAATTTTTTTAGAATGTATAAACGTTGAATGGATCGGCAATGAGTCGCATGAGCATGAAAAATGACAGAGGCGTAGACGATGTTGCATCGTAAGTTGCCTCACCGTCAAGTACATCCGTCTCCATCTCCTCTACGACAAATTGGTCGACATTAAAAATAGAGCGAGCTATCCAAACAAAGACCGTCAGGAGAAGTGAGGTGGTGACCCAATGTTGGTGATTGTGAGTGTGCTGGTGCGTAGGGGAAATTTCCAGATCTGTAGAGGCGATTAACGTTGGCACCCGGTGGCGACAAAAAGGGCTTGATGGTGAGGAGGGTTTCGATGACATGCGTGTGCAGCGAGTTTGAAACCTGCGAAGCTCAGCGGTACATGGAGTGTGACACTGGCTATAGTGATAACCGGAAAAATAAATGAATTGTAAAAGTGACCAACGCATGCTGCGCCTTCGGCTTGACACACCATCTGATCACGCATAGTTTCTGGACGTAAAGAGTATCCACCGACAAGCCATAGAGAATATCGTTTCTGACAGGCATCAGGGGTGGCAACGATGCTTCGACGCCGGATCCGTGGTAAATCTACTTCTCGTGGAGGCCAGCCTTCAGACCATTTCCCACGTACGAGTCAAACCATCGTGGCGGCAGTTAGATATAAAGAGGTGAAGATGCGTTGGAATCGCGGAAAGCGATGCATGTGTAGAAAATCACCAAAACCGACTCCCCAGACGATATACTGTTCCTAAAGGACCGGAATTCCTGCATTCAGAGCCCACATCACTCACAGTATGCGCAATATTTATTGACCCACTAGACAGGTCAAGAAGACTGAGGAAATTTATCGTCAAATAAGCTAAAAAGGACAAGTTGTGTGCTGTGATCTGGAGAGTCCAATTAGACCAAGAGATTGGCTTGGAACCTAGTGCAATATGTAATGTTCCGGGAATATGCATGCAAGCACGTGAGAAGCCTTTCAGCCAAAGCCCACACTTCTGCTGTAAAGCAATTCAGGAACGTTTTGCTTACCTAGAAAGAATTTTGTAGAATGTTTTACTAGCCAAATCGAGTCAAGAGTCAAATAAAAGATTGGCTAGTTGTGCACGAAATCCAGTGTGATCGGACAGCGCAATACGATGCAGACGTATGAAAACAAAGGAAGATGCAAAAAATATGGCGGATAGTGCCTTGTTGGCAAGTTGAATGCTGCAAATGTACCGGCTCAGACGCCGGTATTAAAAAAGGAGTAAGTATTGATGGTATGTCAAATAGTATCATCATCTCGTCCTTAAATCTGGTTGATGGGCTCTATCAGATCCTCATAAGTGAGCAGTATATCCCGTACATGGAATTAAGCACCTCGAGCAGTATGCTCTGGGAGTGGCTAGCTATACCACAAGTGATTGGCAACACCCCTGCTACATACACAGAAGGTCGGAGAGCTGTAAGAGGAAGTTGATTCTCTCACCTGAACCTCAGATAAAGCGATAGGCAAGAACTTGTCGATCTCTGGCGCTTGTTCACGAGCCAGTTGCCACTGATCAATGACACAATACTTCGAAACTAGTTTGAGCTCGATTTTGTGTCGAGTGCCTTTGTCTTAACGCAATTCGCATGGCACGGATTTAAGGAACAAGTGCTTGAATTCGATCAAATCTTTAAATCAAAGATTAGCTTGAAGCAAATTCCAAAATTGGGGCGTTTACCGAATAAACCCAGTCTTCTCATCAAGAACACTCTCGTCCATTGATGAGCTGATAAACATTCTATTAATCTCAGCAAATACCATTGCCGACCGAAATATCGGTCACGTACTCGTCTTCCACGACCAGAACGCAAATCTGCTTGGCTGCACCACTATGCGGATAACGCGATAATCCTTTCTGTCTGAGCATGGGCAAATGAGTGATCTTGACGTCATCTTCGGAGAAGCGGTCAGATAAAGTTGGTAAGCGTCTACATTTGGTCCATCATTGACCTAGGCATTCAATGATTTGGTTTTATCCTGGAAATTCTTTTACACACGCTATTGAGAACCTGTTTTTTAGGCCGGTGAAGTCTCGTTAACTTATCTATAAATGCTGGAAAAGACTTTTCCTCAAGTACGTATGTAATTTTTCCTCAAATTCTTCCAGCTGTGGTTGCGCTGCAACAACTAGGTACTCAACGATCAACTCTCCTGTAGATCCAGGATCATCGTGTTGCCCAGTGTAAGCAACCAGTTTATTATGCCTTGGATGTCACCCGCTAGGCGTACATCCATTTTTTGATCCACTCAACTTTTTCTAGTGGTGGGCCTTCGGCGCTGCCTCTGCATCTACACAGCCGCCTGCAACTCCCTTTACCGTGTGGTTGGTTGTCACACTGTGGTCTCGTGCAGTCTTACTAACGACCGAACCGCAAGAGAGGCCAGCGCACTCACTTGCAGTACATCCACACGCTTAGGACGCTCCAAAACGTTTATCGGAGGTCAATATGATGAGCATGTGGAAGGCATGTTCACGGTTCGATGCTGCCAGCTTACCCTGTCTCGTACCTTCTGAGCCAGGGTAAATCAAGGATGAAATCATTTCATGTCATATAGATTAAGTCATATTGCATTATCATTGTACTGCAAATCATTTAATGTTCATTGAAATCCTACCACACCTTCATCTCTGCTATCGAGGCGCCTGTTGCTAGGCGCACCGTCATCCTCGTAGGAGGAAGTGTGCGCTTGACAAACTTGATCCTGCGATCCTCTGGCGACTGGCGACGAAATAAGTTGTTCGACACCACACAGCCAACTACGGCACAAAGTGACAATTTTTTTGTCACTCATTTTAAGATCAAGGTGATGAGGGGCACCTCATTACCCAGTGGAGACCCAACCATATTGCGAATCTGTTATAACTTTAAATAATCAGTTTGCAAATTCTACTGAGGTTGCTAAACCATTAGGGCGCTACGATCCTACTGACCTCGACCGTTTTTAATGGTCCACCACGCTGCTGTGACTCCGCAACAGTATAAGACCCGCATCCGTTTTTGCTTGTTGGCTGTCGGTCGATCACTTCTCTCAGTGTATCGAGACACTGGGCGTGAAGCACTCCACTCGTACGCGTAGAGTCCTAACTTTCAACATTGATTTCACCTTTTCAATCGCTTTGCTGCTTGAATTGCGAAGGCACTCGCTCTCGACAATGCAGAGGTCCAATCGACCCGGCATTTCCGCATCTAATTGTCTCGAAGGTCAAGTGGGGGTCAATCTAGTGTGAGTCTATTTCTCAATAAAGTCCTCTTTCACCACAGTTTTAGTCGCTTCTTCAAGCGACTTCAACTTGATCCAGAACAGGTGATTACTCAAGGGGCCACATGCAAGGCCCTGTAAGCATGTCGTGATCAAAACGAGTTCGCTTACAGAGTTCGCCACCATGCAGCTTGCAAGGTTGCGGATGTGTTGAGCGTAAACGTGAACATCACGCTTACATTGTATTATCTTCAGGAGCTCTAAAAAAGGCCTGAGCTCAGCGCTTGGCGGCTTAACGTTTGGCTAAGCATAGTTTTAAAGACCGCAAAAGATCCAATACACGTTTGTATCGTATGACTGAAGATTCAGGGCGAATGTTCAGGCACGACCTGACAGTTTTGCTGTAGCAAATTCAACTTGCATTTCCTCGTCGTCGATGTGGCTAGCCTGAATGGCATCATTCACTACGAGAAACCATCTCAACATATAGTCTTCCTCGACTCCTTGGTACTTAAAAGCTTTTATAAGCTTGATAGTCTCGCGTCGACGCTGTAAAAGCAGACTAAGACTGTTTCTGTATCAGGAGATCAGTCTGCCGGTGATATTGCTGATGCAGCTGGGTCACTTGACGCGTCAAGTTCTCATTGCAAGGACATGGCAACTATGGATTGCTGCTGATCGCTATCCCTTGAAAAAAACAGAGGCCAAACAGCTTCTTCACCAATGGTCGAAATCGTTTGTTCGACCGCAATCCATTCGACATCACTTAGAAAGGAGAAACTTTCACGGGTGCCGTGAAAAGTGTCGTCACCTTATCGTCTGATACGTTCATGTTGAACGGGTTATGTGGTTCCTGACCAGACTACAAAGTGCTACCAGGTGTTACGGGCACCAGATCGACACACTAACTATTAACAACTATGGAGCTACTATCACCGTAGCAGTGTGAGTGGGGCCCCGCCACCTCTGTAAACTACGTAGGGAAGAGACAGAAATCGGAAATATAGCTAGTTGTTGGCAGAACCTGTAATTGTTATAAGTAAGTCCTATCATTGACCTCTGCTTTAACCTGACAAAAAATATAAGTAAATCCTATCATGTACCTCTACTTTAGTACTAAATTGACCGTATTTACCTACAGAATGCATGCTAAAGTATTTCTCACCACTCATTGCGCGCGTCCATCGTCATTTGGACCACTAGAGCTGGCTGATATGATGGCCCATATCAGCCAGTTGATGAGTTGTTTCTAAAATATTACCCCATACGGTAATATTCACAAGCACTACTAACCTTTATGATGATATTTTAATCAACAAGTATCAGAGTTAATTACATGTAACACAATCACCCCGTTACGGGTACGATGCCTCTACTTTATCTAATGACGGGTGCAGCACTGGCTGGTGCGAGTGGCCAAAGAATTAAGACAGCTATGAGTAAAATTACAGTTTGATACGATGCCTACCCGCGACAATAGCTAGCACTGATGTAGAAAAGAATCCTTTACCGGTCCTAAATTGTACGGCGAAAATGTAACGGGGTGCCTCCGTTACATGATAATTCACATAAGATAATTATTAAGTATGAATAATATGTTAAAACGAATACAATATTCTCACAATATTATCCTAATCGCTAATTTTGCTTCGCAGATGTAATCCCCTGCTCACTGGTTGATATATGACCGAGATGTAAATCAATAAAGTCCAGCCACGACAGGAGCATGTAATGAGTGGTGCGCAGATAGTTACAGTATCTGTTCGTATTTAGACATAGTTAAATGAAGTCAAATAGGGATTTATGAAAGGATTTACCATACAAAAACAGTTCCACTTTTTACCTACACTGAGTACGCTTACTCCGTATAGCAACCTTCCTCTGCACATACGTGCACGTGAAGTAGTCGGACGCACACTACCCCTGCACTGTCAGCAGTACAAGGTTTACTTAGTTAGCTGAATAAGGTGCGCCTCGCTGCAGACCAGGTGTGTCACCAGTGTCATGACGTACTGATGTGCGAAAAATGTCCTACATACTACGATGACATCGAACACGTTGCTGCACGCATGAAGTCGTGATTTCGCAGGCGTGCGTCTTGTCGGAATGCGTGCACAGGGTCGTACCGACGCCAAATTTGCATTTCTTTGGTCGTAATTGCTCATTCTTTAAAGCGCTACAAATGCACGAAAGCATTTCACAATCGGACAGCAAGACTCGCGTCCAAATCCCAGAAAATGATTCGTCTTGTTCTGCTTCGCTCGCTGTATATCTACGACCTGTACGTTCGTCCAGTTTATATACGTTCAGCAGGTGCTGTGCTCAGCTTCACGGCTTTCACGTGTCTGTATATATGGAGTGGCGAGGACTTTGCACGAACCGATTATCCACGGTGCGTGCGAGCTGTGTCTTGGTACGTTAGTAAATTGTGGAGTAAATGTGCGACGAGAAGGACCGAAATAAAGCATGCATATCACAAAAGAGTAGGCAAATGGTGAAATTGCATCTCAACGAAGAGTGTGTGGCTTGTAACTTGGGTTACCAAAGGTCCTGCTCGGTCCACAGTCATGCGCCGGCGGTGCGACACACGCATCCAGAATTTCTAATTTGTTGCTAGTTCAAGACCGCGTCGTCCGCTCGTGGCGTGTCTGCCGTTCATTGTCAGGTGCGTGCTCACGTCCAACCTTTCGATGGGCTAAGATAGAGACGCGCAGAAGAGGGACATCAAGAAGAGCTCTTAGGTCCAACCTTCCATCCTTGTGCTCCAAAGCGCTGGACCAATCTCTTAGGTCCGACATCGTCTCTATAAACACCTCACCTCGACGTCAATCGCTATCCTCAAATCAGCCTTAGGCGTATCAGTATCGTCACTGCATCTGCCGTCTACATGCTGTGATCCAAACCATGGCAGTAACGCGACGCACACAGAACTTGGATACATGTTGATGCTTGGTCAGTCCCTTGGTTGTCGTCCAAGTCTCCAAGCCAGATATAGTATCTGCTAGCCCCTGTAGATGCAGTGTGCATGAGCACACACTTGTGGACCATAAAGTGCGTGTCGTCACTTTGCCCGCCACGCTTAGTGGAATCTCCAATAAAAGGTCACGAACGCGAACGGCTTTCCATCGATGCACTCCTTTCGCCCTTGCTCCGTTCGTTACCTGCGCCTTCCCATCTCACCGCTCTCTTCGCCTCGTCCTTCCGATGTTCTTTTACTGCGACTGGGATCGTGAAGCCCATGGCAAGTCGTGCCCCGAACTCTTCACATGAGCCAAGGCACAACTCAATCGGTCCACGACAGCACAAACCAACCTTACACCTGCCGAAAAAGGCTGACAATGGACGTTAATGCTGACGGTTCCGGAGCGCCGCTACGTACGATCCAGCGACCGACGTCTGGCCGAATTGGCAGCTCAAGCAGCAACCCGGTTTGACCTGGACGAGTTGCAGTATCGACGTTGTGAGTCCAGTGGTGTCATGACGGAGCATGTGATTGACGGCACCATCGTGACTGCAACGAGTGTCATCGAATGCTCGCTTGCCGAGATGCGGGGCCTATTGGTATCGCCCACGAGTGAACGCTACGCTTGGGTGATGCGCGAACTGTTCGGTCGGGACTTTATCTACGGGACGATCGTGCACCACGCGAAAGAAGTGACGACGCAGGACGTGACGGTCCGGACAGCAGCCTTTTTGAAGCGCCACATGCTGGCACGCAATCAACAATGGTGTTTTGTCTGTGCTCATAAGACCTTGGAGAAGAGCCAAGCGGAGGGGGTTCACGGTCACAATAGCGTCGCAGCACCCGGACGACGTGTTCTCGGGTAAAGTCAAGCTGCCAACGTCGTTCATGTCCAGGGTTTCACGGGTTTCTACCTCGTCACTGCTGAGCCGCAAAAGACGACGAAAGCAGGACGAACGAAGCGAGCTGTCCGAGTAACCTTTTGCGCTCACGTACCCTTCACTTTAAGCTCGGGAGACCTGCACCCTTGCGGTGGCTCTTGCCGACGAAGAACCGCCGGAATCGTGATCATGCCTCAAGCGGCGTGGTGCTGGCACGGGTCATGCAATTTGCACGGTCATTGAAGCAGTACCAGAATGCTGTCCGCTGGCGTCGACTCGATGCGCAAGTGTTTGCTGACTTGCGAAAGGTGCAGCCCACAAACACCCGCTGTGCGTGCTGCGCGCGTCGCGTGGATGCCAAAAGAGCATCTTTGGGATGTCAAAAGCAGGCATGGCGTCGTTGCGACGCTCGAAGCGGTGCCACTTGTGCGGCTTCCTTGTCTGTGCTCGTTGTGTACGCTCGACCGGCCAAGCGCCGGCGTCGAGCGAGACGTCTCGGTCTTCGAAGACAGGGGTCAAATACAGCCAAGCAGTACACGTATGCGAGCATTGCATGCAGCGCATTGACGACGCTGACTACGACAGCTACTGCGCCACTGAAGGCAGCACGACGCCTTCCTTAATCCAGCCTGATGGGCCGAATGTGGAGCCAGTGAGCGCGGTGATCGCACACTCGCTAAGTCAAGTGCTTAGTACAACTTCCGAAGAAGAGAAGTCTGTAGTCGTCCGAGTCATCAAGCACATCATCAGCTCAACAAACAGCGGCAACTTCCGAGCGGACTCTAGTGAGTTGACCATGAGACTCGTTCAGTTGTCAAAGGAGCATGGATTTTCGGGCGAGCTGATGCATTTTGAGCCACAGGTAGTGCCTGAAGTCACTCCTAAAGTTCCGTCGGGTCATGACCTCTATCCTGTCGCGGACGGCGGGGGACGTCAATATGAGCTGCAACATGCAAATAGGTGCGAGAGCAGTGTAGCGGACACGGATGATTTTGAAGGAGCTCAAGATACTGAAGACCTCGAGGTTCCTGAAAATGATGAAGATGACTTGGGTGTTGGCGAAGTCAGCAAGGTCGTCGATGCTGCGCACTACCCGAAACCAGCTGATGAAAGCCAACGACTGCACTGGATTGAAGAACATCCAAACATTGTTTCGTACATGATGAACCTCCCGGATCTGGAGCTACTCTGCAATATCGCTTGTGGAGAACTAAAGTGCGATGCGGTGGTAGTTACCCTCATCGGTTATCAAGTCGCGCACGTCGTGGCGTCTTCTGAACCGGCTTGGCGAGGAGGGCAGCTTCCTCGTGATCACACTATATGTGCTCACGCCCTCATAAACGACTACCCACTACTGGTTCCCCATCCGGAAGCGGATGTACGTTTCAGTTCGATGAACGTAGTGCGTCGCGACGGCATACGCTTTTACTTTGGCTTTCCGGTCAAGGTCGATTACCCGGAAGGTGGTGGCTCCACTGCCGTCGGGACGTTCTGCTGTATTCACGTTGGCAAAAGCCGCGAAGTGTCGGAATCCCAGTATGCGCTTATGGCAACTCTTGCTGGAGGTGTGACCCGTGTGATGGAGTCCCGGGCAGCAACTTTACTGGAGGGGCTAGATGAATGAAAGCTGTTAGAGCATTTACTCAGTAGCGAATATATGCACTCTAAGAGTTCTTCGTGTCCAGCGTCGAACGTGTTTTTATACAACGAAACATTGGCAACGAGACATCCGGTGTGGCACGAGACAGGCACTGCTAACGTCACGATGTTAAGCCCGAAACGATAATCGATCGCAAAGTTTGCTGGAAAGGGTCATCGTCATGCATCTCACGCAAGATCGGAAGTACCACTGCAGCCGTCTCTGCAATCAAATGGATGTTTGACGACCCACCGAAAAGAGATGAGTCACAGGCGTAAACATTCCTGGCGCCTGTCGTCCAGGTGTGTGAGTAACCAGACATTTGTCTAGCTACTGACTCATAGCAAATCGACTAATCGTTTCACGACGGACTTGAGCGGATCTGGAATTGTAAGTTGAACTGGGCTTTCTCAAGAACGCAACCTGCCCGAGCACAAGCTTGTTTGACCTTTGACTGGCAAATGCACGTGCAGCACTTAAGAGCTGCAACCGACCGTATTTTCGGCTGCGAGGTGGGGCCATGTTTTCTAGCAGTTGCTGCTCATACAATTGTTGGGGTGAATGTTGCTACTTTGTATCGTATAACAAGCTACAAGCATCGCAGGAGCACCTCACAGGTTTTTGCACTACACCAGATCCGTGCCTATTCACGCTGGTGGTACTTATGCATCAGCTATAAGCTTCGATACCATCCTGTTGCTGACACGATACTCGGAAGCGCAGCATTGGTGCTCATCAATACGGGCATTGCATCAACTACACAGCGTTGCGTGCACCAATGTCCAAAAAGACGAATTATGTGTGCACAAAGAAATTCATCACTTTGCTCGTGTGATGCGATGATGGTTGCAGTAGAGACAAGGGCTGCACGTGCGGGGCTACAGCTGTTTATCCCACAATAAAAGAAGCGCACAGACCATCGATATCAAGGGTGGAGTACACCACAAACTTAGATATCATGGCATCTGCCTCGCATTTTAGCGGCATGAGGGTATTCTCCTATCTGCATGTAACGGGGCACCCTGAAGCTTGTACTGGTGCAGTACAAGCTACTTATTCTGATGAAAGAATAAGGCGGTGCCTCGTAACTTCACGTACACTCGTACGTGCAGAGGAAGACGGTAAGAAGAAGCGAGTACTTGGTTAAAGTAAAAAGTAGAACTGTATTTATAATATTAATGTCTGCAATAAATCACTATTTATCTTCATCTAACTATGTCTAAATACAAATGTGTAAATCAGTTATCTGCTCACCACTCATTGCGTGCGTCTGTCGTGGCGCGTCTTCGTTGGTTGATATAATGGCCTATATCAACCAATTAGGAACTACTCGTAAGTGCTACAGAATATTTGTCCTTATGACAATATTCTGAGAATATAACTCTTATAGTTATATTCTATTGACAATTTCTTATAAATTGTTATGTAACGATTCACCCCGTTACATCACCCCCCCTTAACCATCAGTCACTTTAGTGACTGATTGACTAAATGGATACTCGTCCCAAATCATTTGGGACAGGGTTTGCACTTGTTGGTTCGAGTCCACTTTCCAACAATTCATCGCATGGTTAACAAGCCAAGGCGGTGCGCGAAAAGGCCGCTGAGAGCGCGTCCGCACGTCTCTGTGCGGACGCCGAAGCAGAAACCGCAGCAACTGATGTCTCATCGGTTGCTGAAGCGACTCAGCCTTTGTCACCTGGTGATGCAGGCGCTGGTCATGAAGACACTCGTGTCTTCACAGAGTACGAGCTCGGTGTCTCATACTCTCCTGATACGGAAGACGGATCCGTATCGACGGCGATCGAATCCAAGCCGCCTGCCAAGCGTGGCATGGATGATGCTATACGCCGTAGCATCTTTGGTTCATCTGATGAATCAGATGAACCATCGCCAAGCGAAGGCGCTCGAGGTCGTGAGACTCGGGCGCTAACAGTGGTGTCGGTTCTCCTATGGACACCACTTCACAGCGAGGCGCCAGCACTTCTGTCGGCACGTCGCAGGAAGAGCGGGACCGCAATGTGTTGCGTCTCGCTCCTGAAAAGAAGGCATGGATGCCTCCTAAATCCGTCATGGATCACTTGTCGGCGACGACTAGTGATCGTTATCGAGAACACGATTGTTCGATTCGTCAGGATCCATCACCTTGACCCCAGCGCGAAAATCTATCGCGCTGAACATGAATTCTTCATCGATGCTTTCTTTAGACATCGATGGTACAGTGGGAATCACAAACGTGATGGTCCCTCACTGCTTCAAGCGTGGAACGCCTACATCTGTAACCTTGAGGATGTAGGTCGTGACGCTTGGAACGACAAACTTATCAAAGCTCGTGATAAGTTTGAAAATCGAACCCCGACAGGTGCACGCTACAAGCTGTATCGTCTGTCTAGGGAGAAAGGATTACCCTGCCTCTCTTGGGGAGACTCGTGCCCATGTTGTGTGAACAAATCTGCACGAGCACCTAAGGAGGCTTACCTCCTTACTAGCCCGTGGTGGCGCGTACGTATCTCTACTGAGATGTACGAAGGGATTGACAATCTAAATTCCCTTTACGACCGTGCCGGGAAGACTTTCTCCGGCGGTCCTTCTGCGGCACAGGATGTGTCGCGTCGTACTGCTCGACCAGACCCAGTACGTCAACCATCAATTGGGAGCGGGGCTCCCAAGAATCCCAGGACGGGGGATAGCCGCGCCACCGGACGAGGTAACTCGTCCGACGTCCGTTCACGTCGCGGTGGTTCAACAGCTGCTCAACTAGATAGCGCTGGCCACCGCGAGAGTCCTCTAATGGAGGTGGAGGGAGGAGGAAAGACGCTCTCCACACGATCATGTGGATCGGTGTGTTCCCGAGAGCTTCTTTGATCGCGTAACGCAAGGGTTACGCGACGATCTCGAACATGAGCGGAATGGGCGTCTCCAAATGGCGGACACTGCCTCCGAAGCATCGAGCTGAGTTTGCCTTTGCTCAGCTCGAGAACGAGAGATCTCTGACATCTCTTCGTGACGAGCTAAGGGTAGATCGTGGGATTGTTGATCGGTCTCGGGATGAGATAGCTGCTCTTCAGACCCTTGTTGATGCCCACCATCGGGAGCACAAGGCTCTCTGCGAGATGCTTGAGCGCAAGGGCGTTCTTCATCGGAAGAAGCAGCGTACTGATGGTACGGCTTAAGCCGACCAACGTAAAACGTGGGATGCGTTCGCATCGTACGTGGTAACTCGATCGTGTATGCATTGCCTAGGCGGTGCAATAAACGAAATGGGCCGATGTATTTGGGTAGTAGTTTACTGCTACCCAAGTTAGTCACTACATGCTTTGGTAGATTAACCGTAGACAGTAGGACTAAGTCACCTTTATTAAATAAAAAAATGTTTGCCCTTCCATTCTTGTCAGCGTTTTGCTTTTTGCTTATCCACCGCTTCGGCGATGGAGTCTTGCACAAAACGGACTACCGTTTCACGAGCCAGTATGAACTCATCTGATGACTCGTTAGCTTCAGTGTGCTGTGAGCGCACTGCAGCAACATCAACCTTTTCTTCAGTGAGGGCTTCCGCACTCTCACTGGGATCATCTTCTTCAGTAAGGGTTTTTGCACTCTCACTGGCATCATCTTCTTCAGTGAGGGCTTCCGCACTCTCACTGGAATCAACTTCTTCGACATCGATGTTATCGATATCGGCATCAAACGCAATGACGTCTTCGTCAGAGCGTGATGAGCGTGAACCAAATCGGTTTTGCTCGCGCGAGTCCCTCCCCCTAAACCAGAGTTACACTCTAGTAAGGTGGGTACACGCGGATGGCGCAAGTCATTCACGTAAAACGGTGTATGTGTCGTGGACGCATGCACCGAGTTGTTAATGGCAAACTCTACCATTGGCAAAAACTCACTCCAACTCTTAAAGGAGTGTACGTATCCTCGAAGTATCTCTTCAAGGACACGGTTGGCACGTTCCGTCTGACCATCTGACTCTGGATGATCAGATGTTGACATCTTCAAGCGCGTTCCGAGTGATTTGAACACGGAACGCCAGAAATCAGCAGTGAATCGTGGATCTCTGTCTGATACGAGTTCACGGGGCAACCCATGAAGTCGGAAGATGGTGTCAATAAAGACACAAGCACAGCCACTTGCCGTGATTGTCTCTGGTACAGCCACAAGGTGTACCATTTTGCTGAATCTGTCAACAAATACGAGAATACCCGTATTCCCGCGTGCGTCTTTGGGTAACCCGAAGACGAAATCCATTGAGATGGATTCCCAGCACTCAGCCGGAACCGGTAGAGGCTGTAAAGGTGCACGCAGTGAAGGACTTGACTTCACTCGTTGGCAGACTTCGCATGCGCGAACATACTTTCGCACAAACTGATACTGGCGGGGCCAGTAAAAGTCTCGACTTACCGTGAGATATGTTTTCTCTCGGCCACGATGTCCTCCTATAGGAGCATCGTGATACTCGAACATGATCCGCAAACGCAGATCAGTATCATCTGGAATGACAACACGTGGTGTGTCACCAGAAACGGCTGTATAGTACAGTAAACCCGTCGCGAGTAGGTATCGATCTGGTGAAGAATGATACGCCTACGATAATCGTTTCAACGATTCTCGGGATGGTTGGGAGAGATGTGTCAACAACTTCACTATCTCACCATCTTGGGCGTATGCCCGCCTCACATCATCATACAACGTTGTAGATGGGACTGAGGACGTCATAACCGCAACAGTGACTGTCTCACTGTTGGGTTTCACGACTGGGTCAAAGTCGGGACGACGTGAGAGTGCATCAGCGACGATATTAAGTCGTCCTGGTTTGTACTCGACCGTAAAGTTGTATTCCGCAAAGAATGACAACCACCGCGCCATTCGTTGAGAAAGGTGCGGGCTGTTCACTGCCGTGCGTAATGACGCATGGTCAGTGTAAACAATGAAGGGTCTATCTCTAATAGATAGACTCTGAACTTCGCGAGTGCATACTTCATGGCAAGGAGTTCCTTGTCATGCACTGGATAGTTCCGCTCAGCTGGTTGCAGCTGACGCGACTGATAGCAGACGACGCGTTCAACGCCTTCAAGGTCGTACTGCATTAATGCACAGCCGATTGCGAAATCGCTGGCATCACAGACCACATGAAATGGCCTGTCCTGATCGGCTATTGCTAGGACTGGGGATTGTATCAAGCTCTGCTTGATACCATCAAAGGAGCGCTGACATTCAGCGTTCCATAACCACCTCTCGTTCTTTTTCAACAAACGAGAGAGGTGCACAGTCATCTCGGCGTAATTGCGTGAATACTTATGCAAATACGCCGCTAGCCCAAGGAATTTTCGAAGACCTTTGACATCAACCGGCACAGGCCAGTCGGTGATCGCCTTGATCTTTTCGGGATCAGGACGTACACCGTTCTTACCAACGATGCACCCAAGAAGTGGTATTTCGCTTGCTGCAAATACACACTTCTTGAGGTTTGCATACAATTGATGCTTTCGCATGATTGTAAGAACCTGTCGGACGTGGTACCTGTAAACCTCAACGTCCGACTTTCCATCCATAGCTCGACTGTGGATGAATACGTCATCGAAATAACTCGGCACAAATTCTCGTACTGGTCCCAACAGATGTGATACACATCTGTTGAACGTGGCAGGGGCATTACTAAGCCCTTGTGGCATTACTAGCCATTCCCAGAGCATGCCGCTAGGCGTGATAACTGCGGTATAGGGTATATCCCGTTCTCGCATAAGGATTTGATAGAGTTTATCTATCTGATTCATGGACGAAAAGATGGTACTCTTTGACATACCATCTATGATTACGTCCTTCCTCGGTATCGGCGTCTGTGCCGGTACCGTTGCAGCATTCAACTTGTTAAATGCATGCATAATCCGCCACCCTCCTGTTGCTTTTCGCACACAGAAGGTCGGAGAGCTATGTGGGGAAGTTGATTCCCTCACATGGCCCGCAGCTAAACGATCGGCAAAGAACTTGTCGTTCGCAAGTACTTGTTCACGAGGCAGTGGCCACTGCTTCACGACACAGTACTTCGAGCCTGGTTTAAGCTCGACCTCGTGTCGAATACCTTTATCCTTCGGTAATTCGCACGGAACAGTTTCAGGGAATACATCCTTGAATTCAACCAAATCTTCATGAGAGGATTTGTCTTGAGCGATTCCCACGATTGGGAGTCATATCGCTCAATTCGTGTCTTTTCATCTAGGACACTCTCGTCCATAGATGAACTACTGAGAACTCTCTCGTTCTCAGTGAAGACTGTTGCTGACCTTATGTCGGTTACACACTCGTCGTCAGCGACGAGTACGCAGATCTGCTTGACTTTGCCACTACGCAGATCACGCAAGAACCTTTTTATGTTCGAGCGTTGGCAACTGAGTGATCTCCGAAGTCAACTTCGGAAACGCAATCAGATCAAGTGTATAAGCGCCTACACTTGATCCGTTATTGATCATGACATTCAATGTCTCTGTCATTTCCTGGGGACTTATTCCCACAGACTTATTCCTTCGGCTTCCCGGGGACTTATCCCCGCGGGTTTCGGGGAACTTATTTCCGCCGTATTTGTAATATCGGGACTTATTCGCTTTACCTCCCTCTAGCTGTGGTTGCGCAACCACAGCGAGATCCTCTACGAAAGACTCTCCAGTCGATCTAGGATTATCGTTTCGCTTAACCTGAGCGATCGATTGTTTCTCTTCTAGATGTTCCCCGCTAGGGATACATCTTTGTCCCGGTCCACTCTCGACTTATTCGAGTGGTGGACCTTCGGCGCAGCCTGTGTTTCCTCACAGCCGCCGGAACTTTGCTCCAAAGTGTAACCGTTTGGTACACTAAGGTTTTGTGCAGTCGTACTAACGACCGTACCACAAGTGAGGCCATCGCACTCACTCGTAGTACATCCCCCACACGCTTGTGGACGCTCCAAAACGTTCATCAGATGGCCATCTGATGAACAAGCGGCAGGCATCGTTACTGTCCGATGTCGCCAGTTTACTCGTGGTTCGTACCTTCTGAGCCACGGTATTCCAAGGATGACATCAAATTTGTCATCCAAATCAATACGATAAATTCATCGTCATATTGGGTATCTTCTAGCGTATAGTGGATCTTCACTATACGCTTCATGACGGTCACGGATGCGCCTCTCGCAAGACGTACCGTCATCCTCGTAGGAGGTGTCCCATCATTCACTGAATTCTTGAAGTGATTGCCATCTTCTAGCGATTGGCGTCGCACAAAATTGTTGAGACGCCCCACAATCGACTAAGAGCTCGAAGGGACAACTCATTGTCACTTCGAGTTTCAAGATAATAAGTGAGTCCTCATTACCTGCGACGTAACACGCAACGTTTGTGCTTTCCCCTTATCATCAATAGTACCACAAATTCTCTTGACGTTGCTTGCTGGACCAGTAGAGATTGCTCGCACCTACTGATCCTGGACCGTTTTTTGACGATCCATCCCGTTGTTGCGTCTTCGCACCAACAGCGGACCCGTCCCCCCTGGCCCTTTCTCATTGGGTGGACGGTCACTACGCCCACAGTGTTGCGAGACGCTGGACGAGGGAAACTACACTCATAAGCGTAGTGTCCTGTCTTCTGACATCTGTTGCATTTCTGCAACCTTTTGTAGTCTGTAGAGCGGGAATTCTCGCTCTCTGCATAACAGGAGTTCCATCGGCTCTGGACCTCCGCTGTCATATCGTCTCCGGTCGACGATATGATGTCGAGCTTAGCGCGAGCCTGTCTCAGACTGAAGTCTTCCTGTTCCGCAATGGAAATGGCTTGTTCTAGTGAGATCAGGTCAAACTGGAACAGGTGAGAATCTTAACAGGATCATCCGCAAGACCCAGCATGAACACCGAAACCAGCATTGTGTTCATCCGCGAGATATGAGCTTATACAACTCGTGAGATGTCGTACTATGTTGAGCGTAAGCGTGCGCATCACGCTTACCCTGCTTGAAGCTTCAAGAGAGTTCAGTTCGAGCTCTGAACTCAGCTCTAGGCAATTTGCAAACGTTTGTCTGAGCACGACTTGAAGACTTCCAACGACCCAAACGCATATGGGTCGTGCAATTTGAGCCCCAGTGCCCAAGTCTTGGCACGTCCTGCCAGATTTGACTGGGCAGTACGGCTTTTGCATATCCCCGTCGTCGATGCGACGCGCCCTTATGGCGTCATCCGGGTCGACGAACCATCTCAAGAGGAGAGTGCTTCGACCCCCTATGCTTGGAGATGTCAATCTTTAAAGTCTCGGGTCGACATGAGTGCATCGGCCCCGCCAGCAGCATCCTGCTGCTGTCTCAACAGTTCAAACTGTTGAGCA